TTCGAACGATTATGGTATAGGAAAATATTGATTTTATAAAATAAAATTTGAGTTTTCAGAAAACTAAAAGAAAATAATTGTAATATTATGGTGCTTATACAAAGATTGTATACTCCAGATGTAATGGGAATAATCCTAATACAATAAAGTTTATTTGAAATAAAATTGGAGAGTGACTTTTAAGGATTAATTCATAAAATATAACTTTCTTAAATGGTTACTCTCAAATCATGCAAAGCATGCTTTGAGAGTCTGAATTTTCGTACATTTCACATCCCATTTTGCAAGGTTCAAAATGTCAAAAGAAATGACCCTTGCACCAGAGTTTGCACATGTATTTATGCTAGTACTAAACTTTGACTTTTGAGCTTTCAACAAGTTAGTATAAAGTTCAAATATTACAAAATATCAAATTCAATATTTATAAAAATAAAATGATTATTAGTACTATTTACAAAATTACAATTATTCAACAATCTGATTAGGAAAAACCTTCGAGGGAAAAAAACCCTTAATCATCTTAATTAGCACCAATTCAATCAATTGCTTACAATTACAATTCCACAGCAATACATTGATCAGCAGGAATAGTCTAGTTTGCTGTGTCTTTCCTTTCTGGACTGTTTACATGGAAGTTTAGTGGGTATTAGTATAATTAGTATAGCATGTCTTTACATGAGAAAAATCTAATTCCTATGGTGGTCTTTGTCTTCACATTAATTTTTTTTGTTTAATTTCTTCATTTTTGTAAAATTTTATTTATATGAAAAAATACAAAAAAGTTACAAAAGAAAGTAAAAAGAGCTTGCTGTATCTTCTGATTCTTCTATGTTTATATGGAGAGTCTAGCTCTACTTAGGCTCTTTCTCTGACGAGCAGTCACTCATTGGTCAGCTTGCTGTATCAGTTTGACAGTGGTCTTTTAAAATCTATTAATTTGCATATTGAACATGTTACAAACAAACAAAATGTTTCCTAATTAATGTTTCTACTACTTTACAAAATATAATACAATATTATTTAATATTTTAGTCATTTTTTTAAC